GGCCCCATTTTGTGCTGTGTAGTCCGTCGGTACCTCACAAAACTGCAACATGGGCTGTAAGTGACCCGAAGGATATAAGGGATGTGGTTCTAGTCGAATTGACTTCGTACAACTGTCGACCGTAGAGAACTTACGACGCAAGTCAAGATAGGGTAGGTACGGTACGATGGGTAAGAAGGAAGCTGCATCCATATACCAGGCCACTCAATCAGGTCTCCTAGCTTAGAGCTAAGTGTCGATTTCGAGAGGAACTCCTCCATGCAAAATCACATACCATTAGAAGGATGCTCAAAACGGTCCACCTGGCTGAAGAAAGATCAAAGTCAATACTTGAGGGCGTTCATGTTTGTTATTATGCCCTAGAAACATTATAGCCAGTCCAGATACTAGCAGAATAAACCATGACAAAATATTAGCCCAAGCATTTCCCCATGCTGTTGCCATCGTACCACAAGGGGTAATGAGTATCCAGAACCTTAAGCATGTGGTCAATCGAATGGGTTATGGCGGTCAAGTGACTGATATGACGTGTTGCGTGAAGTCGAAGGAGGATTTAAGAAGTTGAGATCGGGCATCAATTCTCAGCCAAGTAATTTGGGTGGTAAGAAACATCCGTCTGGCTGAAGGCTCAAATTGAAATTTCTTTCCTATAAACGACAAGGTAAGTACTTATCTACTTTAGATTTTGTGATGGAATCCTGAGCTTTCACCGTGGCCTTAGGTTTTATAACGCAAAAGCGCCGGAGAAAGTCCAATAAGTATGTATAATTTCAGATCTTGGTCATGGACAGGCATTCGGGTTCACCCGAAGTCCGTTGCCGCTAGAATGCTTTCGCTCGACCCTGGCAGCCACAGCTCAGATGTGAGGCAGTGGTGAACTCACAGTATGAGTATCAAGCGACCGGCGGTTCTTTGGCGCTAATCAACTGAAGGCGAAGCATTTTCTCAATCGATAGAAAGCCGAAATAGCCTCGATTTGTGGAGCTCCATTTAGGCATCCTGAGAGAAGGCAGTCCAGCATATAAAGCCACACGAGGCTTGACGACACGGGCGCAAGAAAACCTCAATTTACCTATCGAATGATAGCTGCATGTGGTTTGTGATCGTATCCATGTGGTTGAATACGAAGAGACCTTGGAATTAGCTTTGTAATTGTGTATGTTACCCACGGGAAAGAGATAATGCCCGCATGCGCTGCGACGTCACTTCCACTGACCTGGACGATGACGAAGAATTTACTTGTCTGGGTGTTTCTTACAGAATTGAGCATCCGGGAACCAGGCACTGAATCAAGAGCCCAGATGTCAAGGAATCTAAGCAAGGAAATTGCCTCCATTTCACGAAAAAGGGCCGCGATATAAGTAGACAGATGAAGTTCTGAAGCTTTAATTCCAGTCAGCGACAGGGAGGGCGGCCATCTAAATACGGTTAGTTCCCGGATGTGTATGCACTCTGCTTATGTTTCAGCCCTGTAGTCGGATGCACCTTGCTTATGACTTTTGAGTCAAAAAAAGGACCAGTCGCCTTACACCTTTCTACTAAGGCAAGTTTCGAATACTCTAGACCTCGAGGCCCTCATACTTTGAGCCAGCCCCACAGACTGCACTCTGCTTATGGCTGCTTCGTTCAGGTGCATGATGCATCCGTGGATCAGGCTGGGTTCGGTGTACTAGGCGAGGTAGCTTTCCTCGTTGAATCTTCCTTGTGATGACCTTATTTGTCTACCCACCAGTGTGATGAAGCCAGGAGACGGAAGACTACTTATCGCATCTGATTCTCACCCAAGCAACCGTCTTTCATTGCCTTCTTCACCCTCATCTTTACGAACATTCAAATCTCGAGCAAAGCATCTCACTCCTAATTATAAGAAAATATCTTCTGCGACAACGTCCACCTCGGCCAAGGTTACATTCACTTCTCGCAGCTACAAGCTTGCAGGCCAATTCTACCCTCCTGTTATCGATTCTCCCGCCTTTTCTGGAGCAGCCGTCGTCATTGCCCACTCTTGGACCTCAGTCAAAGAACACTCCCCTACCCACTACGCTCGCGTCCTCTCTCAGGCCGGCTTCTATTGCCTCGCCTATGACGCGGCCAACCAAGGAGAATCCGAAGGAGAGCCCCGCTACCTCGAAGACCCCGGTCAGAGGGTTGAGGACATCAAGTCGGCAGTCACGTACCTCGTCAGCCGCGATGAAATCGACTCCGAGAAAATCGGCGTTCTAGGAATCTGCGCCTCAGGCGGCTACGTCTCCTTCGCAGCACGAACCGATCTCCGAATCAAGGCTGTCGCTATCTCTGCCGGCGTTTGCTCGGGCACAATGGCGCGCCGCGGTCTCGACAAGGATGGGTCCAACCTCGACATCCTCCGCACCCAGCTCGAGGCCGCTGCCAGAGACCGCAACAGCGACGTTACCGGAGAGAAGGTTGACATTATCCACATGTTACCCGATGAGTTCGACCCGGCCACCGCCCCTACCGAAATGCCCGAGTCTTTCCGCGACCTGGCTTCGTACTGCTGCACTAGCAGGGCCACAGCGACTCACCGTCGAGTCCCTAACCTTTGCTTGCCGCGGAGCTGGGACATTATGGGCAATTTTGACGCCTTTGCCTGAAATCAGCTGATCAGTCCAAGGCCGTTCTTGGCAATTACTGGCATCAAAGCTGCTTCGAAGTGGTATAGCGGGGATGCTGTTGCAAAGGCCAAGGAGCCGAAGGAGCCGCTCGTTGTTGACGGACTTACCCATGCCGACTTGTATGACGATGTGGAGGTTGCCGGCCCTAAGCTCAATGAGTTCATCGGCAAGTATCTTGTCCAAGGTAGATGATCGTTGGCTCAGTGCTGTTGACGACTAGATATATAACTTATACGTAGGCTCGATGCGCTTCGGCCTTGACAGTTGAACTTGACACACAAACGATCAGCCAGTCAATAGGAACCACAAAATCTGATATTTACGACTGTAAATGGATGTAAGTTACTCGAGATTCTCATCTTTAAAACAAATCTACATCGAACGAGCACTTTTGAGTCCATAGACAATGGCTAGTCATCATCGCATGCTATTCACCAGCTTGCGGCGACCACCTTTGAGGCTCTGTGTCTTGTCTCCTGAAGCTCCATTGTTGCCACAGGCTCTGTCACTCGATGAGGTGGTATCAAATTTCAACGCATTCAAATGCTGAACGCTCCTGTATCGCCATGCAATCGTGCTGTAATCTGACCGTCATGATATTCTTCCACATTTTCAACATCCTAAGCAGCATCGCATGAGAGGGAGCCGCTGCCCAAGTCATTGCAGGAACCACTGCGCTTTTGGCCCTATAGAGTGCGGACAGGTTAGTCAGAAGTTCCTGGCAACAGGCGATTGTTCTTCCTGCGATGGACATACATTGCAGGTCGCTGTGCAGGCGTCGCCACGGTTGTTGCATGCTGTCTCGGTGTAAGTGCAGCAGTTGATGCTTGGGTTGCACTTCTGGGGCTCGGGCAGAGCGACTGCAAGGGCAGTGGTAGCGAGCGCGACGAGAACGAAGAAACGCATTTTGACGTGTGTGTAGGAACGTTATGGAGGAAAGTCGAGATCAGTCGATGGATGGCGTGTGTGCATAGCTGGTGGAGGTGATCGAGAAGAACTGGAGTTTCGCCATTTATAGGTATTCATTGGATTCCTGCAGGGCTATAAATAACGAGTATACTAAGAGATCCGCATTCTGTTATCAAGATTCGAGAAGAACTCTCTTTAATAGATTGTTAGAGATATTGAGTCAGTTACCCTGCAGGTGCTCCAGTTACTTGGCGGCCTCTATGTGGGATGCTATCGTTAATTAATTCGGGACCACTTGAAACAATCAAAACGTCGGTCTCAATATTGGCACATATACAACTGGTTCTGGTCATACGGCCAAGCCGGAGTTGTCCATAATCATGGATTCCGTCGGCGGAGAGACCGGAAAGCTTTCAGTTCACCTCAAGTTACCTTGGGTACTAGTAGGCGATTAAAGAGCGAAGACCACCCCCTTTGTGTGCCTTACACGTTGGGAATTGCATCAAGTCGCAAAGACTACAGTCCTTCCCTGGATGACAGACGTGGTTTCATATGCGAAGCCGGGTGGCTTCACACCACATGATTGGCTTTTCTACCCAATAGCAATGATACCTGCGATCGGACTTGAGGTCATAGAGGACTTTCTATCGCGAATGCGATAACATGGTGCCGGTAATATAAGGTTCTAAGAAACTCTAACATATTTTCCGATGAGTTAATTCAGCAACTGATAGATTATCCCCGGAACGCACGCGTATCTTGTTCCCTGGGTTGTAATCATTCCGGGATGAGGGTGCCGTCTTCAAAGCTTGATGCGTCCGAGTTATGAGTGAAGTGTCTACAAGATAAGGAGGTGCAATATACTCCAAAGCCCTTGAGAATTGAGGTAGTCTGAGGCTCGATTGAGCAGTCCCCTGATACCATTTCCTTTGACATAATGAGGGGTCTTGACTTATTGAGAAGGTGGACGAAGGGATGGAAGACTAACTGGCAGATGCTGACGTAACCACACCGCGAACAGCGCAAATTCGTCCCTTGGACCCCTATTTAAGGTTTCATCCTTTTTTTTTTTTGAGCTGATCACAGGCACGTGGCGGGTCTGATCGGGTGCTTTGGCGAATCGCAAGCGCCAATTAAGCGAGATGAGATGGGCATCTCGTGCCTGGAATCCCGGGGGAAGGATCGGATGGGATGCACCTGAGTCTTGGGGTTGCACGCGCCCAACGTTCGCGATCCGAATTCCCCATCTTCTCTCTTTTCTTTGCAACCCGCACCACACCACCACAACACCATCGGCGCAAGCTGCAGATCATCGATGACCTCACTCCTTTGAGTCGCATATCGGCCGCATTTGCGGCTGGCCACAATCATTATTGCTACATTACTACATACCAAAGTCACTCATTAGTTTGGAGAGGGGCGTCCGTTGGGACCCCTCCCTACCCACTCTCTTTAACAATGCGTAGCACCGCTCTTTCATCGCTGTCGCAACTATTCCTTCTGCTGATCGCATCTTCGCCGAACCATGTCGTCGCCGACGGCACCGTCTGGGCAACGCCCCACGATAGCTACTCCTCCTCAGTAGGCGTCCTCGGCTGCAAGATCAATACCGATCGCGTCGCCTACTGGCCCGGCTCCGTAGACTGCACCAACATCTGCATCTCCCTCACCTACGACGACGGCTCCTCCGACGGCAAGCGCACCGTGAAACTCCTCCGAATTGACCAGTCCCAGGGCGCCTACGACGTCAGCTACGATGCCTGGAACTACCTGTACACGGGTAAATCCGCCAAGAAGGCGCCTGTCGCAGGCGGGCCGCTGGCCATGACATACAAGGAGCTGCCGGCGGACGACTGCAAGGAGCTCCTCAAGACCAAAAACAAGAAGCTGCCGCTCAGCGCGTCCAACAGCATGAATTTCCTCGCCAGCTGCCTCGACCAGCCGGACAGCTGGGTGGCTAAGAACTTTGGGCTGTACAATACACTGGATTCGGTCTGCGCATGGGGATACGACGAGGAGTGTGAGCTGGATTGGCCTGCGGCGAACCAGCCCACGTGCAAGCACTCGCTCGGAATGCCGGTGGAGCTGAAAGATGCGCCAGTGTATAACGTGCAGTATCCCACAGGGGAGGTTGTCGTCGCGTCCACGGGGGAGAAGGTGTCGAGTCCCGGGGATAGTACCAGCCTGGCGGCGCCATCGCCGACACAGAACGGGGCCCCGAGCAGGGGCATGTTGACATTGTTGATGGCTGGCTCACTAGTATGGACGTGCCTCATGATAGGTTCATGCTAACGTTGATGAAAAGGGCCAGGAAATGCTGTTCATATACCACACGAGATACCATGTAATACCCCCCATGTCTTGCGACAATAATGTCAAATACCACCACCTTACCTTATTCTACTTCACCTTATCTCCGCATGTCACCAATCTCAGCAGGGTCCAGTGGGAATGCGCACGGGACCACCCGCATCGTTAAAGATTGACCGTTGAGCCTCGCCCGAGACAGCTGTCTCTAGGGAAATTAAGAGCATTTCTTTTGCCGCTGTGGGAGATTGCCGATGTCTTGCTCTGAGGATCCTGAGAAGGTACTTTCTTGTCTAATATCGATCATTCGTCCCCATCAAGGAGCTGGCTGAACCTTGATAGCCCACACAAACTGGGTATTTTCGAAACGATCTCGGCGATGCTACAATATATCGAGTTATGGCGTAATCATGGATGGCTCAAAAGCCCCAGCAGAGCTGAGGTGTCTCTCAAATCTATTCTCGGCCCCTCAAGGCCTGTTTTTGTCTATCGTCTAATGATCCCAGTTTTTTCTCTTGCTTTATTCAGAATTCGCTTGCGCCATGTATGCAATGAAATGGAAGTAATGCTGACATGCTCATGTAAGAGCCACACCGGGAAGAATTACGCTCCTCCTCTAGAAGCCTTCGACTTCTCCCACGTGTCGGAAATGCCGGTGCCATGAGGACAACAAGGAGCAGACCTCTTATTTCGTCTTGAAATAGTCCCGGAACTTTTCGCGAATCTCATCCTCCTCAAACTTCCTCGTATGTCTCCGCAGCATCGTCGCCCGCTCCTCAATCGTCATGCCAATCTGCTCACCAACCGGCACTAGGCACTTTGCCAGGTGCAGGTAGTCCTTCTGAAGCAGCTTGACCGTCACCATGAGATAGTCGATATTGTGGAAGACGAGCGCCTTTTCGCGAATATACGTCTTCTTCTGCTGCAAAAAGGACGTGGGGTGGTCACGCCAGTGACGGCGGGGGTTGAGATGGTGCGACGTGTGGTAGCCGTCGTTGTAGCAGTATCGGTTGCTCTGATGAGGTGGTCAGCGGTCAAAACGATCTTCATCCTTGGCAATGTGGGGTCTGTGGAGGGGAGGTCCCCTTGGCGAATGCTTACCGGCACATCAATCAGGGTGATGCTGGAGCGGAAGTCCGAATCCGGCTCGTCGGCATCGACAAAGGCGTGTTGGCCCCAGTTGCCGACCATCAAACCCAATCTCATGAGCGCGAGGGGCCCGAGGAAGACGAAGGTCGTTGCCTTGCTGTGGAGGCAGTACAGGGTGTACAGGAAGGCGTAGTTGCCGAGCTCCCAGAATCCCGTCTTGAGGCCGTTCTTCGTCTGGCCCTTGCGGAAGAAGTACCGCGGCAAGTCAAACCAGACCAGGAAGATGAAGCGTCCGACGTAGTGCAGGAAGTGGAAGATATCGTCACGCTGGTAGCGGATGGTGGACGACAGATCGTGGGGCCCGTTGCCCTCGACGTGGTGGTGCTTCACGTGGTGGTAAAAGTACGTGTTCCAGGTATGGCCCATGAGGGGGTCGGTGATGTAGGGGAACGCGGCGTCGAAGAAGCGCAGGACGGCCCAGTTCTTTGAGAGGATGCCGTTCATGTGGATGTGCTGGTGCATCATGAGGGTGTAGGTGCCGGTGAACCAGAACTGCATGAGCATGTGCGCGACGCCGTGGATGTAGTTGAAGTTGCGGAAGAGCATGATGGCGCTCGGTACTGAGAGGGTGAAGTAGAGGATTAGGTGTGTGAGCATGATGACGTCGGTCTCGTGGCGGACGATTTTGCGCCCCCAGGCGACGTAGGGGACGACGACATTTTGATAGATGACGGCTGGGAGCTTGTGGGGGAGATCGCGCAGGTCGAATGATGAGAAGACGGATGGCTCAAAGTCTTGACTTGTTGCGTCGTTGAGACCTTTCAGCTTGCGGATGTCCTTGGCGTCTCTCTGATGTGAAACTCCGCGGCAGGCTAGATTTCCGGGTCAATTGAGATGCTCATATAGTGAGTGGGAACATGCAGGTGAGTGAGAATGAGGGTGAGAGTGAAAGTGAAAGTGAGAATAAAAGTGAAATCTGGGAGGGCAGAAAAGGAAAAGAAAAGGCTAGCTCACGTTCATCATCCTTTGACTTCTCACCCAAGGATTCCTGACTGGCATACCCCTCGTCGCCGTCGGTGAGAGCGAGATGCTTATCGTTGTAGCGTTCAATGTCGTCGATAAGGTTCTGCAGAACGATAGTATCGTGAACCGTAAGGTCTGGGGCGACGATGAGATTACTCATTGCATGTGGGTTCTGGAAGAAAAAAAATCTCGAATCCCAAATCTCAAAAAACCTCGATGCCAAGACCCCGCACGCGCGATGAGAAGGAGTAAATGCAACTGAGAGAAGCGGAAACGGAAAAGAGAAAGAGGAGAGACTGTCGGTCAAACAATGGAATTTCCCCCGTCTACTCAACCCATTTGAAGCTGGAGGAAAGGGATTTTTTTAGGGGCTTCAAAACGGGGCAGGGGAATCCAAAAAATAGAGAAAAGTGGGAAGACACGATGCCGTTAAAGGAGGTGACCAGTGCTTTATTACGGGTACCCAATCTCTTCAACCCATGTCGCGTTTCTGTTTCGCTTGCGCTGGGAAACCGGCAGCGTCTCCAGAGGTCACTGACTAACCGCAATGGAAAAAACAGCCCATCTCGTTGTGAAATAGTGCTGGGAGCTGCGTAAGCGGCGGCAACATCATGCGAGCGCCGTATATTTCTTCAATTCTGTTGCCAATACGTTGGGGGCCCCATGGTTTATGTCATCCTCCTCTTTCAGTCCCCTTTCAATTGCGCTCGTTCTTGTTATTGTCTCCTCACGTCTCCTCATTCCCCTTTCCACTGGAGACTTTCCGAAGAGAGCTACGGGCTCCGTCCTTTGGAGCTTCTCATTGGACCGGGTTTCGATAGAGCCTCCGTCAATTGGGGTTTTTTGTTCCTTGCGACCTGCGACCCCAAAAACAAGAAAAAGCATGTGCCAGGGCACTCTGAAAACAGCCATTTGCGACACCTTGACAGAGACTCGAGAGACCGTGATTGCATAGCATACGAAAGTCTGTTTCCCAATGAAAGTCTCACTGATGTATAAACTCAATTGACGGGTATTCCCAATAGGTACTTTCATTCAATAGACAACAAAAGGCGGTCAGACATTCTCAGCTCAGTGAGTCCTGTTAGTGCGGGACTTTTCACCAGTGTCGCGCATTTCTCACTTCAAGTGTCGCGTAATACCACCAAAGCGCAAGCAAGGAGCTTCCAGAGATGATAATTCCCAATGGTTGAACCAACAACTGGAGCCAAGATCGGCAAAATTTCCCATCTGATTTCCCATTTTCTTCAGCCTCTTCAGCCAACGGGCTGCATGCCAGCTTTACTCTCCTTTTCCTGCATGCGCAATCACAAATTGCCTTGCTCGAACCCCTGCTAACCCCAATTCTAGAACGTCACTGGGCGCTAGCAAGCAGCCGGGGGGATGAAAGCTTGCGTTGACAGCGTGGGTGGGTACTTTTGGACCCTGAATCGATACCCTGAAGCGGGCAGTGAAGGTGAAACAGGTAAATTGCATACTGTGCCAATCGAACTTGTGGGAACATGCATCGAAAGCGAGAATGTGCTCAAAGATAACCTGATCACCAGATGGTCTACGGATACGTAGTCACAGACAGCCGTCGGTGAAGGAGACCAGTATTGGACGTCCTTTGGATGTCGACAGCTGTACGTCGTATCTTGATACCTCACGAGATGAAAGTTGTTGGGCCAATTGGAACGCTGCCCTTTGGCGTTCGAACCTTGATGTTTAAGCTTGTCCCTGCCGAAGCGCCCCGACCATCGAATTCACTATCTCCGAGATTGAACTTGGGCACGACGCGGCTCCAGCACCTTTCTGGTGCTCGCCCACCGGCCCGGCTCGTAATTACGCGGGCCGATGCACTCGCCAGGATAAACTTTCCACCGCTAAGCATCCTCGAAACACGCAATGGGAGTAGAGTGGTCCCTTCAACAAGTTGTGCACCAGAAAAAAGGTGTCAACCATGCTGGTAGCAACGAGTGCTGGATGGTGTCAATGTACATAATCTCCAGTTGTTCTCAGGTGCTTTTTGGTTGGTTTTCTACGATGAGATCAGAGCGAAAACAGAAATAGGCCATCGTGTGATTCGCTATTACCCCTGGTATGAGCACGTACACATATCTCAACGCCAGTTCACCTATCGCTCGATGGATAATATTTGAACCCATCATCATAGGTGGTCTCTTGGGAAACCATGCAAATGCCTAAGTAGGATCTTAGACTACTTACTCATGCACAGCCTTCTATCCAGATTTCTCTTGCCGAATTTGTATGGTCGCCCTTGTTGCCCCCGTTGCCACAATACGTCGGACTAGACTGGCCTAGATGGACGAATTATCGTCATGTGGATTCTGGATGAGGCGTTTTCCTGTCTGTTACCGCAAGAAATCCTTCTCAAGCTTCCCGAAGACGATCTGCTGGCGTATACCCGAGATGTCCCTGAGCAAGGATGACCTAGATGGCGATGTTGACGGTACGGTCTAAGCGACACTTCAAATGCGAGAGTTCATGAGCAGATTCAATACAACACCAAAAAAAGTAAGGGCCTGGATATGGGGAAGGGTATTGATACCAAAAGGGGCTTTCACACGCACTACCGATGTAGAAAGTTGAGAACGCGTATTGTGAAGGCTATTCAACATCGTGGAGTCAAAAGCGCTTGTGCGTCTCAAGACTCAAATCAGATGATATAGTCTATGCACGGATAACTCAACATTGGCCTACGCTCGAGTCAGATACTTATTCACAGTTTTTCATGAAGGGCCCAAACCTCATTGTTTTGTAGTATTTAGTACATTAGGATAGTGTGCTGATGGATTGGGTAATAGCGCAGATGGCTTTTGTCACCTAATTAACAGATGTTACGAGTGCTTTACTAGGATCATAAGAATTTGCTGTTGGAGCAAATATAACAGTGGTCTGCCATGTTGAGAAAGAGACCAGTCTCACCTCTGAGCGAGGAAGAAGCGAATCACCAAGCAGTAAGAACTCAAGGCCGCATACGGCGCATAATAGTCTTTGTTCCCACGATATAATGTGTGCCACAGATTCCAAGGATAGCAGGCCGGTCCTATATCCACCTGCTTTCACCCACTGCTCCCAATGTCTCTTTTCGGAATATGTGGTGCTCCCTACTTAGGACTACTTACAGGTTTTGAGATCATTAGGGGTGATAAAAACGTACTGAGAGCCTCATCTCCGACTATCGGGCCGCAGAAAGGCAACCACTAGTTTCATGACTTGGTACGCTCTTCAATCTGGGCAGCCTCGATATTTGCCTCGTATTTCTCGTCGGTGATGGAGGGAGACCTGGCTCGGCCAGGGGCTACCACTGCCCTGCCTCTCATCTGAGCCCACACTGTCTTGTGGGTAGGTTGCATGAAAAGAGCGTCCATGTCCTCAAGAGTCAGGCCTGGTCATATCTTGATTAGCAATGTATAAGCTTCCAGATGACGAATAAGTCAACATACCCTTGGTCTCTGGCACAAAGAAGAATGCCCAAATACCCATGAGCATCAAGATACTGCTAAAGAAGAAGTATGCGCCATATCCTAGGTCAGAGATCATGTACGGTGTGGAGCGAGCGATGATGAAGCTTCCGAGCCAGGTTGTGGCGGTTGTGATGGAGACGGCCAGCATTCTGATTTCCAGTGTCTGCACTTCAGAAGCATAGAGCCAAGTGATTCCTTGCCACGTTGCGCAGATGATGACCTATGGTAATAGTTCAGTGTTGTTGCTACAAATTAGGCACATCCCAATGCAAAGGCAGCTTACTCCGTTAATGTAGACACAAGCCATGGCGAAATAGCCCCAGCCGTCTCGGGTGACTTGGCCTGCAGCGGCAGCTGTAGCAGGGTCTGCTTTCTACACACAGTGTCAATACGGAAGCGAAACGAGTCATCTTGCTTCAATTTCTTGTCTTGATAGAGAACAGGTAGCAAGGAATCTTACCATGACATATCCTCCAATGTACCACATCGGAATGCAGCCAAGTGCAGATCCCCACAACAGTCCCTTTCGTCGACCGACTCTCTCAGCAACCCAGAAGGTGAAGAGGAACATTCCAAAGGTCTTTGCGATACCGTAGAAACCAGTAGAAAAAAGCTTCGTGGATGTCCCAGTTATTCCAAGACTTTCAAAAATTCTGGGCGCATAGTATGTGATGATATTCACTCCTAGGTCTGATTTAGACATCGTAGTTGAGAAAAGGGGTCATAGATATCCTACGCACCAGTGAAGCTCTGAAGGAACATGAGTGCCATGCCCAAGCCCATGCGGTTTCGAATACCCTTTTGGAAAAGCTTTTGGAACATTTGCTTCTTTGTCATGCGTTGAGATGTACGCTGTTCGACCTGAGTGCGTATATCGTTCATCTCACGGCGAATGTACTCGTGATCTGCTGGCAGACCACGGATCTGGGTCAAAATTCTTTCTGCAGAGTCAAAATGGTCTCCACGAGCAAGCCAACGGGGAGACTCTGGGCACCAGATCATGCCTAGCGCAAGTCCCAGGCCCGGCACTAGCTGAATTCCGAGGGGTACGATCCACTGGGCCCTTGAGTTGACATCAATCGTCCTGTCAGTAGCATACTAGGATCTTCACGTCAGATCTTCGACCCAAAACTCTGAGGACATCACGACGGATGTACTTACATTGATCCAGAAGCCCAGCATACCACCTCCCTGAGAGGCGATTTCGAAGATGCCGACCAGTCGACCACGGATCGAAGGCGGGGCCGTCTCGGCGATGTAAACGGGGACAGTCAACGATGATGCCCCGATTCCCAAACCAGCAATAGCACGGCCTGCGTAGATCAAGTTCAGGTTTCCGCTGGCTGCAGTCATAAGAGTGCCACCGATGAGGAAGACGGTTCCGGCGAGCATGACTGTCTTCCTGCGACCGAATTTCTCGGCGATGGGGAACGTGAATAGGGCACCAAAGAAGCAACCAGCCTAGAACATCCATTCAGTCATGAAACAATCCATTTATAGTTCTTGTCAACAAGCATACCTGAAATGTCGAGACGATGTTGCCCTGGATGGTATCGCGGGTTGTCGAACTAACCTCGTCCAGGTGAAAATCACGCCGGAATGAGTCCAGTGCCATTGTTCCTCCAATGACTGCAGTATCATAGCCCACTGAACGAGTGAGTTAGCAAGAGATCTTTAAGGAGGTCATACTAACGAACTGCGGTCAACCAGAGACCTCCCTGCTCGCTGACTGACACGGATTGACATGGTGCGGTGCACCCAGAAATGTCACAATAAACTCTCGAAGACGTGGTGTATGTCAAGTGCCCCTTCATCTAGAGAGAGGCAAAAGTTGATCCAGAAACATGAGACAACCACGTACTAGCCAAAGCTGACATGCTCGCGACGAGGGCGATCAAGTGAATGCGCCAGTTTCGCACCTCTGGGGGATCAAGCGTCCCGGACGCGTGAGTGCTGAAGAAGCCCATATTGGGCTTTCAGATTCAAGAGCCTGATGGAAAGAGTAAGACCAAGATGGAGAGACCGTATCACAACACTGCGGAGGGATATAGGAACAATCTGGGAATTGTGTGAGATAGAGATAGGACCCGGCAGACCAGTTCATCGTGGAGACAAAGCGGGGAGGCAAGCTTTATCTAGGCCGCCATGACGTTCCACCCTACAATAAGCTTGAACTGCCTTCCATCGAATGGAAAGCCCGTGTTTGGAACAGCTTCGTGGAACGGTCGAGGATCGGCGGTGTTTACCCCGCGACACCCCCATGGGGAAAAACTGGGTGGCAGTCGTTAAAACTTGCCCAGGACCCGTAACGAAGAGTCGGGTTTGTGGAGGGGGCAACAAAAGAACTTCATCCTCACGGTCCAACCAACCATTTGGCAGTGTTGAATGTGATCGCATCTTGCCCCTGCACAATTGGTCAGACTGGGCAGCAAACACTTGGCGTCAGCAGATGTGTGGAGTAGCCAAGAAAGGCTCCAAAGAGGGGGTAAGAGGAAGCACAAAACGAACATATCTCTTCATGTCATTTGGCTGACTTTGATATCTCTCAACCAAAATCAGAGCTTTTGTCGCCATTTATCGTTACGAAACGTAAGTGTGCCAAGGTCGTTTCCTCCGTTACATTCACTTACACAGCCCACTTACTATATGCATGAACCACAGGAGGATGAGGGGTAACACCATCCAAGATCCTGAATCCAACAAAGACATCAGAAAGAGGCACGATGGATTGCAATACTACTCGGTGGCCCTGGTTTTAACAAATCGCACTTCTGTCATATTTAGACCCCGATTCTTGATGATCGAAGTTGAACGTCACGGATTTCGATGACCTTTTGTACGAATTTCCCTCTTTCAGTGTTAGCGAACCAAACATTCACTCACTTCTACGTGTCTGGTTTCAACTCAAAAAGGGGATATGACTTCGCGAAAAATCCCACACAAGATAAGGTTTCATATGAAAGGAAGAAAAATGAAAAGCCCAGCTGAGCAATATGCTAGTCGAAAAGGAATGCCGAGACGAAAATAAACGGGGGAAA